CTACAATCTTCTTTCCGATGACATTGCATTTGGTGGGGTTAAACTCCAGGAGCCAGTTGTTGATCTAGGCTTGAATATCAAAATGGTATACAATACCGACAGGTTGGTAGGTAAGACACATAGGCAACAGTTAGGCAACTTTATTCCAAAACGTTTCGCCTACACGGTAGGCTTCTTCAGTCAAATACAGAAAGTAGGCAGGAACAGTAGAGATGTGAAAACGATGTAATCAGTCCATCACCCTTGAAGTCGTAGATTTGAGGTTGTCAGTCCCTCAGCCTGGAGAAGTTCAGTTCCATAGTCAGGAACTATCTGAAGATCAAGCGACAGTGTGACACCTGTCGGAAGGAGAGGTGCAGAGTAGTAGTACTGAGAATGCAGCCACTGAGAGGTCACGTCCCTCTCAGATCAAACAATTCTCACTTGAAAAAGTTGTCCAAGGTGTTTTCTGTACCAAGATGCAATTGTGTTGCAGTGTCTGACAGGGTGAATATCAAAATGGTATAAAATACCGACAGGTTGGTAGGTAAGACACATAGGCAACAGTTAGGCAACTTTATTCCGAAACGTTTCGCCAGGAACCAACTTTAGGTGCTTGTCCAGTGCCAGCTTGAAGACTGCCAGGGGTCTGTTGGTAATCCCCCTTATGTATGCTGGGAGGCAGTTGAATAGTCTCGGGCCCCTGACACTTATTGTATGGTCTCTTAACGTGCTAGTGACACCCCTGCTTTTCATTGGGGGGATGTTGCATCGTCTGCCAAGTCTTTTGCTTTCGTAGTGAGTGATTTTCGTGTGCAAGTTTGGTACTAGTCCCTCTAGGATTTTCCAGGTGTATATAATCATGTATCTCTCCTGCCTGCGTTCCAGGGAATACAGGTTTAGGAACCTCAAGTTCTCCCAGTAATTGAGGTGTTTTATCTCCGTTATGCGCGCCGTGAAGGTTCTCTGTACATTTTCTAGGTCAGCAATTTCACCTGCATTGAAAGGTGCTGTTAGTGTGCAGCAATATTCCAGCCTAGATAGAACAAGTGACCTGAAGAGTGTCATCATGGGCTTGGCCTCCCTAGTTTTGAAGGTTCTCATTATCCATCCTGTCATTTTTCTAGCAGATGCAATTGATACAATGTTATGGTCCTTGAAGGTGAGATCCTCCGACATGATCACTTCCAGGTCTTTGACGTTGGTGTTTCGCTCTATTTTGTGGCCAGAATTTGTTTTGTATTCTGATGAAGATTTAATTTCCTCGTGTTTACCATATCTGAGTAATTTAAATTTCTCATCGTTGAACTTCATATTGTTTTCTGCAGCCCACTGAAAGATTTGGTTGATGTCCGCCTGGAGCCTTGCAGTGTCTGCAATGGAAGACACTGTCATGCAGATTCGGGTGTCATCTGCAAAGGAAGACACGGTGCTGTGGCTGACATCCTTGTCTATGTCAGATATGAGGATGAGGAACAAGATGGGAGCGAGTACTGTGCCTTGTGGAACAGAGCTTTTCACCGTAGCTGCCTCGGACTTTACTCTGTTGACGACTACTCTCTGTGTTCTGTTAGTGAGGAAATTATAGATCCATCAACCGACTTTTCCTGTTATTCCTTCAGCACGCATTTTGTGCGCTATTATGCCATGGTCACACTTGTCGAAGGCTTTTGCAAAGTCTGTATATATTACATCTGCATTCTTTTTGTCTTCTAGTGCATCTAGGACCTTGTCGTAGTGATCCAGTAGTTGAGACAGACAGGAGCGACCTGTTCTAAACCCATGTTGCCCTGGGTTGTGTAACTGATGGGTTTCTAGATGGGTGGTGATCTTGCTTCTTAGGACCCTTTCAAAGATTTTTATGATATGGGATGTTAGTGCTATCGGTCTGTAGTTCTTTGCTGTTGCTTTACTGCCCCCTTTGTGGAGTGGGGCTGTCTGTTGTTTTTAGTAACTGTGGGACGACCCCCGTGTCCATGCTCCCTTTCCATAGGATGGAAAAGGCTCGTGATAGGGGCTTCTTGCAGTTCTTGATGAATATGGAGTTCCATGAGTCTGGCCCTGGGGCAGAGTGCATGGGCATGTCATTTATCGCCTGTTCGAAGTCATTTGGCATCAGGATAACAGGCTTGTGTTAACCAAATTCTGTGGCTCTCTCATAAAAAATTCATTTTGATCTTCAACTCTCAGTCTGGTTAGCTGCTTGCTAAAAACTGAGTCATATTGGGACTTGAGTAGCTCACTCATTTCCTTGCTGTCATCTGTGTAGGACCCATCTTGTTTAAGTAGGGGCCCAATACTGGACGTTGTTCTCGACTTTGATTTGGCATAGGAGAAGAAATACTTTGGGTTTCTTTCGATTTCATTTATGGCTTTTAGTTCTTCCTGCAATTCCTGACTCCTACAAGATTCCTTTAGCTTAAGTTCGATGCTTGCTATTTCTCTGACCAGTGTCTTCCTACGCATTTCAGATATATTAACCTCTTTTAGCAGCTGTTATTCTTTTCCGTCACCTGTAAAGGGAGCACCTGTCTCTTTCTATTTTACATCTACTCCTCCTTTTTCTTAGAGGAATAAGCCTTGTGCATACATCGAGTGCCACCAAGTTAATCTGTTCTAGGCATAAGTTGGGGTCTGTGTTGCTTAGTATATCTTCCCAGCTTATATCGGTTAGGACTTGGTTTACTTGGTCCCACTTTATGTTTTTGTTATTGAAGTTGAATTTGGTGAATGCTCCCTTGTGACTAATCTCATTATGTCGGTCTGGGGCTCCATGCATATATGTCTGAACCTCAATTATGTTGTGATCTGAGTATATTGTTTTTGATATGGTGACATTTCTTATCAGATCATCATTGTTAGTGAAGATGAGGTCTAGTGTATTCTCCAGTCTAGTAGGCTCTATTATTTGCTGGTTTAAATTGAATTTTGTGCAGAGATTTAAAAGCTCGTGTGAGTGAGTTTTCATCAGAGCTGCCTCCTGGTGTTATTACTGCAACAATATTATTTGCTATATTCCTCCATTTTAGGTGCCTTAAGTTGAAATCCCCCAGGAGCAAGATGTTGGGTGCAGGAGCTGGAAGATTTTCCAAACAGTGGTCAATTTGTAACAGCTGTTCCTGGAATTGCTGGGATGTTGCATCCAGAGGCTTGTAGACTACCACAATGACTAGGTTTTGGTTCTCGACCTTTACTGCTAAAACTTCCACTACATCATTTGAGGCATTAAGCAGTTCTCTGCAAACAAGTGACTCTGCAATGTACAGGCCAACCCCCCCCCCCTTTGCCTGTTCACTGTCACATCTGTATAGGTTGTATAGTGATGTATGAAGAATTACTAGGGTAAGTAAATAGGTAAATGATAGTTACCTTTTTTATAAAATTTATTTATTAATTACCTGATTACCAGACAAAGATGAGTTGCAAGTGAGGGACTTGTGATCCAAGTAAGTGAACCAATCCTCCCCATCCTTAGACTGAATCTGATTATCTCTCAACCCTCAGGTACTGTATGATCCCCTATGGGTTTAGTGCTGCCCCTGATTATAATAACAATAATGATAATAGTGAAGTATGAATATTAAATAATGAATCAATACAAAAAAATAACAAATAGGAAGTTTTTTTTTTAACAAGTCGGCAGTCTCCCACCGAGGCAGGGTGACCCAAAAAAGAAAGAAAATCCCCAAAAAGAAAATACTTTCATCATCATTCAACACTTTCACCTCACTCACACATAATCACGGTTTTTGCAGAGGTGCTCAGAACATGACAGTTTAGAAGCATATATGTATAAAGATACACAACATATCCCTCCAAACTGTTAATATCCCGAACCCCTCCTTTGAAGTGCAGGCATTGTACTTCCCATTTCCAGGACTCAAGTCCGGCTATATAAAAATAACCAGTAAATAAGAAGTAGTAACAAATTATTATTTAGCTTGATGAACAAGACATATGTGCAACACCTGGGTATAATGAGAGATGTTTCATCTGTACAGCATACTTCATCATTGTAATACATAGGCAGTAGGAAAAAAAACATATATACTGGAACTAGTGAAAGAAATGTAGAGGTGCAGCAGTTGAAGACATAATCACATATGGGTGAGGCCCACTAGTGGAAGGTCAGTTCCATAAGGTCGACCACAGATTTAGCAATGGGGTTGTAGGTGGTGTGGGGAGATGCAGCATCTCTTAGAAACTGGACAGGGCTGTTTTTCACAAAGACAGCAGAGTGGTGGCAAAAAATTACAGACTAGTGACACAAATCATATCAGAAAAATCTTCAAAAGGGTGCTGAAGGACTAAATTACTGATTTTATGAAAAGACATGGGCCCTAGAGACTCATCCAGACATCTACCATCACCATCTGGACCCCATCAAGTCATCCACAATGTGAATTTTGAAGATTACACAAGTCATTGAGACTTGTGAAGGAAACAAAACAAGAGTGAGCTGCACAAATTTTGTTGACATTTTACATATGCAACCATAGTGACAGCCCAAAAGATGAAGCTAATAGGTTTAACAGGAAAAGTAGGAGGTGGATATTTAGAATTCTAATAAACATTACAAAGCGTCTTGGCAAGAGGCGTGGAGTTAAAAGATAAAGAATCACACACAAAGTGGGAGTTGTCACAGCTGCTCTTTGCTGATGACACTGTGCTCTTGGGAGATTCTGAAGAGAAGTTGCAGAGATTGGTGGATGAATTTGGTAGGGTGTGCAAAAGAAGAAAATTAAAGGTGAATACAGGAAAGAGTAAGGTTATGAGGATAACAAAAAGATTAGGTGATGAAAGATTGAATATCAGATTGGAGGGAGAGAGTATGGAGGAGGTGAACGTATTCAGATATTTGGGAGTGGACGTGTCAGCGGATGGGTCTATGAAAGATGAGGTGAATCATAGAATTGATGAGGGAAAAAGAGTGAGTGGTGCACTTAGGAGTCTGTGGAGACAAAGAACTTTGTCCTTGGAGGCAAAGAGGGGAATGTATGAGAGTATAGTTTTACCAACGCTCTTATATGGGTGTGAAGCGTGGGTGATGAATGTTGCAGCGAGGAGAAGGCTGGAGGCAGTGGAGATGTCATGTCTGAGGGCAATGTGTGGTGTGAATATAATGCAGATAATTCGTAGTTTGGAAGTTAGGAGGAGGTGCGGGATTACCAAAACTGTTGTCCAGAGGGCTGAGGAAGGGTTGTTGAGGTGGTTCGGACATGTAGAGAGAATGGAGCGAAACAGAATGACTTCAAGAGTGTATCAGTCTGTAGTGGAAGGAAGGCGGGGTAGGGGTCGGCCTAGGAAGGGTTAGAGGGAGGGGGTAAAGGAGGTTTTGTGTGCGAGGGGCTTGGACTTCCAGCAGGCATGCGTGAGCGTGTTTGATAGGAGTGAATGGAGACAAATGGTTTTTAATACTTGACGTGCTGTTGGAGTGTGAGCAAAGTAACATTTATGAAGGGATTCAGGGAAACCGGCAGGCCGGACTTGAGTCCTGGAGATGGGAAGTACAGTGCCTGCACTCTGAAGGAGGGGTGTTAATGTTGCAGTTTAAAAACTGTAGTGTAAAGCACCCTTCTGGCAAGACAGTGATGGAGTGAATGATGGTGAAAGTTTTTCTTTTTCGGGCCACCCTGCCTTGGTGGGAATCGGCCGGTGTGATAATAAAAAAAAAATAATAGTAGGAAACAAAAAAATTTCAGTCATAGCAAAGTATGAAGTAGAGTATCCCAAGGCAAGGTCCTGGCACCTTTACTATTTCTCAGCCTCATAGCATCATATCAGACAATGACAAAATACGTATGAAAGTTGCCTTAGTATATTATGATTATTATTATTATTACAGTGGACCCTCTGTTTTCGTTGATCTCCGTTATCGCTGATTTCAGTTTTGGCCAACTTTTCTCGTAGATTTTTTGGTTCCGTTTTCATCGATTACCTCCATTTTCTGTGCATTGTTAGATGAAATTTATGAAGGGGTTCAGGGAAACCGGCAGGTCGGACTTGAGTCCTGGAGATGGGAAGTACAGTGCCTGCACTCTGAAGGAGGGGTGTTAATGTTGCAGTTTAAAAACTGTAGTGTAAAGCACCCTTCTGGCAAGACAGTGATGGAGTGAATGATGGTGAAAGTTTTTCTTTTTCGGGCCACCCTGCCTTGGTGGGAATCGGCCAGTGTGATAATAAAATAAATAATAATAATGTTAGATGAAAATACTGTAAGAATCCTTTCTTTGAAGGCATGTACTACATTATTTGGCTTCAATTAATATAGTATTGTAACAGCATTCAGTTGTTCAATTAGTTGTATCTGGTGTTGCAAAAATGTGTTTTAATTTGATAAAAGTGGTCTGAAAACTATAGTGTATTTTAACCAGTTTTATTAATAAATAAGTACACACAATTATTGGACGGTGATTACACTTAAAATGGTAGCTTTATATTACATAAGACACCTCTAGGTGTGTCTACTCCAGGCCATATTGTTAACTTTATATTACATACATGTACTTTTTAATCTGCTTACCCCTCAAGGGAGGTTCATTGATGCTGGTGAGGGGCTCTTGATCTAGGGAATTGGATCTGTGCTCCAGTTCCCTGAATTGAGCCTGAATACCTTCCATCCCACCCCCCACATGTGCTGTATAATCCTATGGGTTTAGCACTCCTCCATGATTATAATTAATCTGCTTGCAATATGCAGCAACAAACCATTTAAAGTGGTGCATGTAGCCACTTATAATATTCACACTAGTAAGTCCCACTGAATTATATGGAATAATAGTTCATTGGTTTACATTATTATTATAATCAAAAAGAAGCGCTAAGCCATCATTGGCTTACAAAAAATAGATTTATCTAAAAAAAAAAAAAATTAATCTCTGGCATGCACACTGTTTTTTAACACTCAACTAGTGACTGCATGGTTAATGGAGTCGTCATTTATTTTATCATTAATGCATGTATCCCTAAGGATAGAGATTCTTTAGGCAAAGCCACAAGACATAAAAGTTTGAAATCATTAATATATTTTAATAAATCGAGCATTGGGGATTTTCTTTCTTTTTTGGGTCACCCTGCCTCGGTGGGAGACGGCCGACTTCTTGAAAAAAAAAAAAAAAATCTAGCATTCTCCTGTGTCTCTTGACCAGCAAATTCAATGTTTTTATTAATAACTAAAATCATTAAATAGATACAATACCTATGAAGAGAGAGATTACTGCAAGTGTAAAAAAATTTACTTTTAGGCATAGGCAAAAATTTGAGTTTCATGTGGCAGTTAGTTAGCTTAATATTTGTCAGGACAGAGCCCTGATACAGGCCTTAATCTTTCAATGACCCAAAAATAAGTAATTTTTAAAATTAAACCATATATGATGTAAAAATTATTCCTGTTGAATATATAAAATCAGTATGTAACTGTTTATGAAGGGATTAAATCTTTTGGAAGATATTGTGCATTTTCAGTGAGTTTAATTTCATATATACTAGATTTATAATTTATGAAAATGTGTTTACTCAAAACCTGTGGATAATTATGTTATGTTCTTAGTTTTTATATAAGGTAGATTGCAACTCATTAGTTGTGCAGATTATGGCCTCTCATATATTACACTAACCACAAAATTTATTTTTAATATTTTAGGTGTTAGGTTTAATTTTTTATATAGTGTATATTAGGGATGGGATAATACCAAAATTTTTGCCAATACAGATACTCAATTTAAGGCCGATACCAACACTATCAAAATTAGTTGATACCAGTAGTGATACCATCAAAATTAATTTATACTGATACTTTGGCACATCCCTAGTATATATAGTCTTCAGCATGCACTTGTTGTTTAGTGACTGGTATGGTAAAAATTTATGATAATGTTTCCTAGATTTAACTTTTAATTTAATAATATTCTTAATGAATATAATGGATTCATCTGTTACATTTTTACATACAGTGAATGAAGTGTTGTTTGTTATTTAAGTCATTGTAATGAATAAAACTTTATTCACTGTATGTAAAATAATGCTATTCACTGTAATAAATAACACTTTATTTAACATAGTAAAGGAAATAGTATAGGATATTCATTACAATTACTTGCATATAGCAATGGCTGGGTCTGCTCCTTCCTACCCACAAGACAGGACGTTATTAACCTCTCTTGGTCTCGACCCTTATAGCTGCTAGGTTACATTATTACTGACCACTCGGTTCATTGTAAACAAAACATTGAACATGTTTAGTCCAAAGAATTCACTTTATACATGTTTGATATAGCTAATTAATGACAATTGTTATGGACCATTTGTTCAATACCACCATTATTAAAATATAATAAATAGGGCTTACAGAGCCTCACAAGTTAGAGAGCACCATTATTTTAATAACCTAGAAAGTTCTTTACTAATTCATAGTATTTTTCACATCTTTAACATAATAAAACTGAGATAAAGAATAGGTATTGACTGCAAACAACTTTATATTTGGAAGAGAAATAATTTTAAGACTTTTTCTTAGTGTGACCTTCTATTAGTCATTTTAAATTGATCTTTAAATAAGTAACTGGTTTTGGCACATTTATTTCTAGAACGAGTACAGTAGTTCCACATATTTAACAAATGCATCATACACTTAAAATTTTGTCAATTCCTAGTTTTAAGAAAGAAATGCATAAAACAAGATCTTAACTCTTATACTGTCCAAACGTAAATTTACGTTCACGTGTGTAGCGCTCCGACCTTGATTTTCCCCATTTGAAAGCATGAAAAAAAAAGTAGATCTACGTTCGGAGCCTGCCACACGTCAACGTATATCTACGCTTGGACAGTTTAAGGGTTAAAAAAGGACACCTAAAGAATAAAAAATATTGAAATGTAAAAAAAATTATACCCAAAGATTATAATTTAGCATTCTACAAATTTACAGAAAATTTTACAGTGCAGTATAGGACTTGAACAAAAGTTCTAGTATCAAATCTCAAATAATGTTGAAATTATCCTACAAGGATAGTTCCCTCAAGCAGAGCTCCATTATTCAAAATTATAATTATCTAATTTTTCATTGTTGCTTAAAACTTTTAATTAGCCTAAATTTGGCAAAAAAGCTAGCTAAGGAAATTATGTAATTGTGGTTATTCAGATACTGAATGTTAATATATATGATTGCCAAACAACTGAGAAAAAATTTTTGCGAATAACCTCTAGTACAGTGGACCCCCGGTTAACGATATTTTTTCATTCCAGAAGTATGTTCAGGTGCCAGTACTGACCGAATTTGTTCCCATAAGGAATATTGTGAAGTAGATTAGTCCATTTCAGACCCCCAAACATACACGTACAAACGCACTTACATAAATACACTTGCATAATTGGTCGCATTGGGAGGTGATCGTTAAGCGGGGGTCCACTGTATATCAATTCTCCCCCTATGCTAGGGTGTTCGGGAGAGGGGTGGGATTAAATTATGGGGAATTAAATACAAAATGGGAAGTGACACAGTTACTTTTTGCTGATGATACTGTGCTTATGGGAGATTCTAAAGAAAAATTGCAAAGGTTAGTGGACAAATTTGGGAGTGTGTGTAAAGGTAGAAAGTTGAAAGTGAACATAGAAAAGAGTAAGGTGATGAGAGTATCAAATGATTTAGATAAAGAAAAATTGGATATCAAATTGGGGAGGAGGAGTATGGAAGAAGTGAATGTTTTCAGATATTTGGGAGTTGACATGTCATTGGATGGATTTATGAAGGATGAGGTTAATCACAGAATTGATGAAGGAAAAAAGGTGAGTGGTGCATTGAGGTATATGTGGAGGCAAAAAATGTTATCTATGGAGGCAAAGAAGGGAATGTATAAAAGTATAGTAGTACCAACGCTCTTATATGGGTGTGAAGCTTGGGTTGTAAATGCTGCAGCGAGGAGGCGGATGGAGGCAGTTGAGATGTCCTGTCTAAGGGCAATGTGTGGTGTAAATATTATGCAGAAAATTCGGAGTGTGGAAATTAGGAGAAGGTGTGGAGTTTGGGACCTGACGAGCTGTTGGAGTGTGAGAAGGGTAATACATGTATTTAGTGAAGGGATTCAGTGAAACTGGTTATTTTATATAACCGGACTTTGAGTCCTGGAAATGGGAAGTACAATGCCTGCACTCTAAAGGAGAGGGTTTGGGATAGTGGCAGTTTGGAGGGATATACTGTGTATTTTTTATACACAGATACTGTTGTATCTGGGCACCTCTGCAAAAACAGTGATTATGTGTGAGTGAGGTGAAGTGTTGAATGATGATGAAAGTATTTTCTTTTTGGGGATTTTCTTTCTTTTTGGGTCACCCTGCCTCAGTGGGAGATGGCCGACTTGTTGAAAAAAAAAAAAATGTATTCCAAATGACCATATAAGAAAAATCAAGGTAATTAATAAAGAAACAAGAGAAAAAATAAAGAACAGTACTCTTTGCTTGTAAGTTAAGCATGGTGCAAGAGACAACCCCCTGAGTTTACATATATTATGGTGAACATTTATTCTGTCTCTTCTTCCATGCAATTATTTAAAATAAATGTAGACTATTCACTTTTCTTGAGTGAGATCCTCGAGAGTAGAGATAGGGAAGGGTTGAGGCAAGCAGGGAATATGTGAATGTTGTATGTCCGTGGCTGACAGGAAACAAGTTTATACACTACTTACCAAGACCCTAGTAATACAGGTAAATCTAATGTGAGAAAGCTACTGCTGGTAAACCTGCAAGTTTTTAGTAAGTGCTGAATAGTATTAGAGGGTTGTGTTAATACTTGTAGTAGAAGGTTAAGTTAGTTGGCTATGAGTTTCTATATTTGCTCTGATACCTATGGGTTTAGCACCTCCTCTATCAATTTCATAATAATAATAACAGAGTTTTTCATAGGTGATAGACACAATCAGTGTATGTAACTTGCAGAGAGGTGCACAAGGTGTATGTCAACATTAACTTCAGTTTTCTGTGTCTTCAGTATATGAAGAAGCCTATTTAATAAAGACATACACTATATGATTATAGAATAATTAAAGGATAGAGATGAGAGAATTAGATATAGCATTGAAATATATATTGTGCAACACTGGAAGCCACATATACTTATTGAGAGAGGGACTCGCAACCAAGAGTAATGTGACATTTTCTAACCTAACATTCTACTACACAATATCAGTGTAGCCTTCCAACATTAATAATACGGTAGTAATTATCAACTTGCATGTGTACTCAGCAGTAGCTTTCTCACAGACTTATCTGAACATCTTTATTTAATGTAAAGCAGCATGTTTTATGTCATTTACTGATACACAATATTTTCACATCCTCTGATTGCCTTTTTCTCAGGCACTATCTTTTAGTGGTCCTGAGAAATAACACTAATCACATTGTAAATCTAGATGACCATAATGTACTTAATAGATGCATAGGAGATTGGGAAAATACAGCATGTTTTCTGGTGTCTGCAGACTGCAATTTTTCATGTTTTGTCTCTTGCACTAGTAACTTTAAATGCATTTTGAGTTGTCTTTACAACTTGTTTATGACAAATGTAAGGGCGAGGAGGAACAGATTTATAAGTATCACACTGCCTGTATTTTACAAACAGGGTCATGATATTTATAGAAAAAATCTAACGATATGCAGTTGTTTGGAACAGGTATGGTGGGTTCATATTTTTTTGGTAGGAATTTATAAAGATTTCCTCTACATTTAGGAAATAGTAACTTTTTTCCCTTTACTCTTTAAGTTTAATTATAGTGATATTTGGTTTTAAAATAGCCACACTTATATGAGGTATTTAACAAGTAAAATTTTTACCTATAAAGTTAATTCTGGAATATTTTAATTGAAACATTCTGATTCCCTCCTGAGTTTGGTTGGGAAAATTATCTCTATATACAATATGATACTAATATTTTACTCAGATAAAATATTGTATATGATAATGAATTTAAAGTACTGCATGGAGATTTTATCTTGTAAAAAGAGTGATAACCTTACATGAAACAGTAAATCTGCTGGGGGAAGCATTTTAAAATACTGTTAAGAAACAAGTATATGCTGTACCAGTACAAACAAGCTACACTTACATTAAGTATAATCCGTTGGAAATTTTCCTTACCAACAAAGCTCTTGTGTCTGAATATTATGTAAAGTAAGGGTTATATTATTTCAGTACTTTGTGAAATATGACTTTTTTTTGAGAAATAATAAAAATACTGTATACATAAATTGAGCAGCGTACTTAAATTTAACTCGATAAAAATAAAATGGAGAGCTGAACAGAACTAATTCTTTCTGGTGTTTAAAGCCCATTTAACATTTTTTGGTAGTAATTATATTACTTAAAAAATGATTGTATTGCACGAATAGTATATATCTCTGGTAATGTTAAATTACAAAGTGATAAAATATTAATCTTTTAAAACCCTATCAACAAAACAACTAATGTATATACAATTTTCTTACTACGTATAAATATTAATGCCTACTCTTTCACTGGAACGTGAACTAAGCACCCTCACGCATGTGAGTGAGACGCCAGCTCAAAATTAGTATATGCATAAGGATGTGATGGTTCAGCCTCTCTTCCTGGCTGACCATCATGACTTACTGGAGCTTCACTGCCTACCAACGTGGTCCCATCCTCGCCTGCCCCAACACCCAAGGATGCTGCAAGACGTCGAGCACTTCTCCTCACACCAGAGACTATGCTACGTCGGAGTGCAGATCTACGTAGGCTGTTATTTCTATTAAGTCCTGGAGCTGTTGGTAATGGCAACTCTGTTTCATCATCTGCTTTAATACAAGTATTAGAAGTAGATGCATTAGCCAAAGCTGCCAATGCTTGCTGTCTTCTTAAAGGATCTAAAGTAGAGTACTGAGGTGGTGATTCACTGGATGTGGAGCTATGACTTCTTTCTCTGTTACACTCAGTGACAGCTGTTACATAATCTGGTGGAGGGATGTAGGGTGTGCTTTCCCTTGCTGCTGTTGTGTTGAGCTGGCCACATTCTAATTCTTGCTGTGTTCCCTCAGCATCAGTGCGTGCACTAGCTTCCGAGCCATTACGCAATGTGTCACGAAGACGTCTCATGCTCCGACGCAAACTTTGGTTCAGGAGCTTTGCAAATCTGTAATGAAATAATTAATAAGTTGAAAATTTTATGTGATAATTTACCTAATAAACTTTCATAAATTGATATACAGCATTAATGTATCATTATTGGTATGACTGTCATGGGGAATGAAAGGTAATAAGGTTTGATTCGAAGGGTAAGGTACAGCCTTTCCTCAGTTACAGACAGAGGTCCATTCCTAAGACCACGTTGGTAAATAAATTTGTCGCTAAGCAAGGGGCATACTATAATGGTAGTGGGTTTGTGTCAACCATCTTCTTGCTCTTTACTAATCTCTCATTTACCCTTACCTCACCTATAATATTTGTGCATACGGCTCAACAACACCAAATTACCTTAAACCTTTAATATCCCAACAAAAAGCTGCAGTGTGATTGACTAGTAATTCCTGTACTAGACAGCACACTCCACCACTTTTCAAGAGCCTTAACTTGCTTAATATACAAATCATCCACACTTATTATTGTGCCTACTACACACACACACAACATTATACATACTCAAATATTATCTGTCCTCTCAAACTCCTCCTTGATAACTACAACAGAACACATAGGCATAATACAAGGCACAAATCACTCTTCGATATCTTTCGTGTCCATCTCTCCCTATGCAAAAATGCTATGCACATAAGGGGCCCGAAGATCTGGAATTCATTGCCAAACACACTAAAGGGCCCCTGCCTGCAAATCAATTTAAGGCCCTACTTAGAAATCACCTAATCACCCAAAATTAACCAGGCAAATACTTCACTTAATACCTACCAGTTACTCAAAAAAACTCCTAAATTATTTAAGACTGCTCAACTATTTAATCATTTACTTCAAACTTAAAATTGTTTCAATTCATTATCGTACATTGTGCTTGATGATTGCTCAACTATTTAACCATTACTTCAAACTTAAAATTCTTTCAACTTCATTGTTTTTAAACTGTGCTAAACTGTAATGCTGTATTTTTTATAAACTACCTATATCAAAACTGTAATTATTCTCTACTGAACTTACTAAAGCCATATAGCGTGAACTAGTTGAATATTCAATTTTCTTGTATTCATTGTAAATCGCATAATGACCACATGTAAAATTACTGCACCGTTATTGCCTTATTAATCTTAAGTTAGTCTTAAGTATGCCCAAAATACACTACATATGAAGGGGCTTTTGGCATGTTCACCAAATTGTTACACTCCTTTGTACAAACATGCATCATGCTAAAATAAACTTGTTATTGTTATTGTTTTAATGTTACGTTTGCACCATTTATAACATTTTTAGTATATTTTTAAATGTTTATACAGTAGTGTACTGTATACTGTAATAAATAGAATAGAGGAAATCAGCTCTAATATACATTATTTAAGTATGCATACTGGTCAGAGAGTTGGTAGTAAGTTCGAGTCGTTGGTAAATGAGTATGTCGCTAAGTGAGGAGAGGCTGTATTTGTAATATACAGGAGTCCCCTTGTATCCGCGGGTGATATGCTCAAAGACTTACCATGGATACCCAAAACTACGGATAGTAATGAACCCCCATATATAAGTTGTTTTTTGTTTACATACATACATATGATAAAGTTTAATTGATACATTACGCACAGTAAGTGAAGAAGTAGTACTTTTTCTTTCACTGATGGGAAGCACTTCACAGATTCTCTTAGGCTTTGAAGAACTGTCACCATCACTACTTTTGTGCTTTGGTGTCATTATTAAGCAAAATTAAGGATTACTTTTGGGGCACAGTACATGGTGGATAACTGAAACTGCGGAACCTGCATACCTTTGATTAGTTTCGAGAGTCTTATTCTTTGTATCCACGGATATGGGGGGTTCTACTGTACATGTAACTGGTTTCAAATATTTTTCTACCCTCACAGCTTGGCCTGGGGCCAGGCTTTTCTGTTGGTTGTCTATTTAATGAGGCTGTTGCTATTGGCAGTCCACTAGCCCAAACAGCCATCACAACCTGGTTGATCTGGCAGTTCCAATTCCTTTAATCAAAAATCCTTCATTAGCTTTAAGGTACCCTACCTGACGAGCTATAACGATGTAGAAACTTTGATATACAGTGAAAGAAAGCTCTAACCTTACTCCAGTAGCTGTGGAGTATGAGGGAGGAGGTGTGTACTTTGGAGGTGGGTCACTATAAGGTCGGGGAGTGGGTGGTGACACGGTTTCCTCTTGTCCATCTCTAAGACCTCCAAGGCCATCTAGATCTGATTCCTCTGTTACTGAGAGGAAACTGCTATTTCCACTGGTGCGCTGCCGTAATGTTGGTCTATATAAGAGTTGTATTCTCTGTAAAATATGAAAAGATATTAGAACCTTCTCTCAGTAGAAATACGGTAATGATAAGCATCACAAAACATTTGTTTTCTGTAATACATTTTTTTTTAATGCATCAGCCTTTTCCCACCTAGGCAGGGTGACCCAAAAAGAAGAAAAAACTTTCATCATCATTCAACACTTTCACCATCATTCATACATAATCACTGTCTTTACAGAGTAGGTAGACAGCAGTAAGCAGTAGGTTGGTAGACAGCAGCCGCCCAGGGAAGTACTACCGTACTGCCAAGTGAGTGTAAAACAGAAGCCTGTATTTGTTTTACATGATGGTAGGATTGCTGGTGTCACTTTTTCTGTCTCGTAAACATGCAAAATTTCGGGTACGTCTTGCTACTTCTACCTACATATAGGGCACACTACATGTTTATGTATACACACTCATCTGAGTTTTCTTTGATTTTATCTTAATAGTTTCTTGTTTTAATTACTTTTCCTTTCATATCAATGGGGAAGTGGTATAAGACTCTTTCCTCCATAAGCCATGTGTGTTGTAGTCAACTAAAGTGTCAGGAGCAATGGGCTAGTAACCCCTTTTCCCATATAGCCAACTAAAAAGAAAAAAAGAAGAAATATAATACATATACACTGAATAAATTTACAAGAAATTTTATGAAAGAATTGCATTTATCAAAGATTATTATAACAGTGCAATACTGTATACAGTAGTACACTATGCTGAAATTCTTAATTATTTAGTTAGGCCCATAACAGTAAGCTAATGATAACTGTAATAATAATAATAACAGTAATAAATTTCAATTATTACTGTATTCACAGAAATTTATGATTAAATCCACAAGGATCACTTAGGACTGTAATTCAAAATATTTAACAAATAAATACACAAATAACCCGCATATAAAAGAGAGAAGCTTACGACGACGTTTCGGTCCGACTTGGACCATTGACAAAGTCACACTAACCAGAAGTGGAGCAGGATGGCTATATATAGGCAGGAAGAGGTGGTGGTAGTAGTAGTACAAGAATGGTATATAATACCGACAAGATGAAATTAAGACACATGCGCAACACCCGGGCATCCCTATCGTAGAAGTTTTGCCATCCAGCCAGCCACTGGATGGCGAAACGTCCACAACAAAGACAACCAGACGCCGCACATGTCGTCGTAAGCTTCTCTTTTATGTGCGGGTTATTTGTGTATCGTTCCAGCCACAGTATTGTGCCTTTTTTTGTTATTTAACAAATAAATATTAATCAATTAATAATAAAATAAATTTTATACTCACCAGCTGTCTCCCACCAATGAAGGCTGATTCCCCCCCTCCCCCCACCAATGAAGGCTGATTCCCTCCCCCCCCCAAAAAAAAACACATTTGCCATCATTCATTCAATGACTGCCTTGCAAGAAAAGTGTTGACATGATAGTTCAGATGACCCTTCTAACTGCAACATCTTCACCCCTCATTTCGAATGCAGGCACTGTACTTCCCTTCTCCTAGACCCAAGTCTGGCTATACAGTATCCCTGAATCCCGTCCTCAGATAAGATATGATAAGATTTCGTTCAGATTTTTTAACCCCGAAGAGTTAGCCACCCAGGATAACCCAAGAAAGGCAGTGCGTCATCGAGGAGTGTCTGTCTTATTTCCATTGGGTTCCTCAATCTTGTCCCTCCAGGATGCAACCCACACCAGTTGACTAACACCCAAATACCTACCTGCTGCTAGGTGAAAGGGACAATAGGTCTAAACTAATGTGTCAAAATGTTTCTACCCTGCCTTGAATCGAATCCGGGCTCTCTGTGTGTGAAGTGAGAGCTTTGCCAGTCAGGCCACAGGGTCACCCAATATCTTACCTTGCTCAGATTTCAATGGCACATAGATTAAAAATAACTTTTCTCTGTTCACTTTATATAACACATAAGCCTGCTGGTTGCTAAAGCCTTTTATACTTCCTACCTCCAACCTGAAACTATCTCTACCCCTCCTATCTTCTACCCAAGATTTATATGCTCTCTTTGCCAACCCATCCTTCTTCATGCTTTCTACATGCCCAAATCACCTTAACAAGCACTCAGCCCTTGGTGACTTTACATATCCTTTTAATATCTATGCTCTGAATATTCTTTTTAACCACCCTCTTCCTCTTTACAGACTCTGCCTTCTATTATTCATAGATTGCAAAAACTCCATATGATAATTTTTTCTCCTTTACCACCCTCTTTACTTCATTCCACTTATCAATCCTCTTCTCACCTGCATCCACCCTCCTATACCCACAAAATTTTACTGTGTATTCTAGCAAAGGATTCTTAAATTTACCAGAAAAAAGAAAATACATTCACCATCATTTTGTCAGTCTCCATCTTTCCAGAAATGTGCTCTCATCACAATCAGATTACCCTCAAACTGCAACATCCCAATCCTTCCTTCTGAGTGCTGGCACTGCCCTTCCTACCTCCACAATTACTATTAGCTATATGAGGAATAGCTTTCTTAATTATACTGGTAATGTATAAGAACTGGACTGTAGGCATTCTATTTTTCATGCCTAAGTATGCAGAAATTATCATATGAAACTTGAAAATTTTTAAAAGTGAAACATAAAAAGAGGATGGTAAATACAAGTCTTTCTTTCTTTCAACACACCGGCCGTATCCAAGTAAGGTTAATTATTTAAGTAAAGTATACCATAACTCCATTGGGAAGTGGAGAAGAATCCTTCCTCCATATGCCATGTATGTCATGAGAGGCAATTAAAATGCTGAGAGCAAGGGGCTAGTAACAACTTCTATATAAATTACTAAATTTAAAAAAGAAAAACTTTATGAAAGCGTTTCTTTTTTTTTCGGGTCACCCTGCCTCAGTGGGAGACGGTCGGTGTGTTGAAAAAGAAGTATATGATAAAGATAACGAGATGAATGTAGACAGTAAAAAGTTACATATAAGGTTCAATACTGTACTACTTGCAGTATGTTGTTATCTATTAAGTTCTGCCATATGTTACTTGGTTATTCAAGAAAGCACTTTATATTATTTTATATTGTACTGTCTTCTGTCAGCAGATTCTGAGACTGAAAATGTGCTATGTGCTATACCCTAAAAGTATTAATTATGTTTTTGTCATACATAATATTTTGTACTGTATATTTTTTTTATTAACACATCAGATGTTTCCCAAGGCAGGATGACCCAAAAAAGAAATACTTTCATCATCAACATCATTCACTCCATCACTGTTTTGCCAGAGGTGTGCCTACACTACAGTTAAAATGTTGTAACATCAACACCCCTCCTTCAGAGCGCAGGCACTGTACTTCCCACTTCCAGGACTCGAGTCCGGCTTGCAGGTTTTTTATATCCACTCATTTTGAGGCATTAGCTCTGATTTTTACAGTACAATATATGCACAATTTTAAATATACTTTTAATACAAAGGCACAAAGACAAACCTCAAAGAGGTCATCATCGGTAGCAGCCAGGTATCGGCATGTTTGGACCAATCCAACAAGTGGTACCAAAAGAATAGGAAACAGCTGAAGTGCAGAGGCAAGTTGACACACCCACACTGGCCAGTAGTTATCACTTCCCCAAGCAAACACCTGCAACATAACACATTATTTAATATTCTTCCATATTACATTTTATATAAAAAATGGTATAGAGTGCCTACAAGTACACAATTTATATTTTACAGTGGACCCCCGGTTAATGATATTTTTTCATTCCAGAAGTATGCTCAGGTGCCAGTACTGACCGAATTTGTTCCCATAAGGAATATTGTGAAGTAGATTAGTCCATTTCAGACCCCCAAACATACACGTACAAACGCACTTACATAAATACACTTACATAATTGGTCGCATTTGGAGGTGATCGTTAAGCGGGGGTCCACTGTATATGTATTTTATATGCAATGTACTAGTAAAAAATTACAATACTATAAGTGTGATCATAAACTGCCATATACTGTATAATTTTTCTTATGATATTTTTCTAAAAGTTCTAATACACACATCTCTGTATTGTCCTGATTTGAAGGATGATATAGAGAGGACTAGAAGGCCAACGGGTACAATGATGTTCCATGCGAAGGAGGTAAGGGGCCCCAGCCAAAGTGACCGGCACTGCTTGTTACTGCCCATTAGTTCACTAACAATGTCGTGGCCACTGTATGGTTTCCCTCTTACAAACAGTAAAGCAAAAATCTGTAATATAATGATTTTTTATTAAATTCATAAAGAAATCAAAATAATTAAATTAAATATAACTTAGCCTAATTATATATTATTTCTTAATATTTCAGTGCAAGTGCAAAGATTATACATGCAGAGTGGTAAGTGTAATGTGTATAATGTAGCAAGAGTTCATGGGAGTTTACATGACAATAGGAGAGTAATGTGACATCATCATAACCATAATGAGTGGAAGGAGGGTGCATTCATCTCATTCACATCAATATTATACACCTGTTGAGCATCCTGAGTAATTAACTTCTGATGAGATCAACCTTATAAGTCTACAGTGTAATCACAAAAGATTTTTCAATATTTATTAAAAAAAAAAAAAAAAAAAAAAAGAGGGGGCTAAATGAAAATGAGTCATAAATTGATAAGGTGTGAAGATCTGTTAGTGGAGTTGATTTACTGTGGGCGTAAAATTTATGTTCAAGTTTGTATAATAGGTTAATTAATGTTAAAAAGTCAAAGAACTGGCATTGAAGGCAGGACCTTAGGCAAGGAAATCAGTCAGTGTTTCACAGTGTTGAAGATGTAGGAAGTGAATTTTGCATGCTCTCTGAGGAAAGATCTTTGGGATTTTATGCACAGTTGTAATGTGAACATGATAAAATCTACATAAAGATTCAGAGAAGCTGGTTAGCCTGACATGAGACTTGGAGGTGAGAAGTTGCAATTTGGTGAATGAACACTAAACCATGATATTTATGCTCTTCTAAAAAAGCAGCTAGAATGAGTGAATCTAGAAAGGCAGCTAGAATAAGTGACTAGAAAGACAGCTAGAATGAGTGATTTTAGAGGCAGCTAGTGAGTGATTCTAGAAATGCAGTTAGAATGGTTGATTCTAGAAAGACAGCTAGAGTGAGTGATTCTAGAAAGGCAGCTAGAATGAGTGATTCTAGAAAGGGAGCTAGAGTGAGTGATGGTGAATGTGCCTTTTTCTTTGCCTCACCTTCCCATGGTGGAAAACCGATGTGCTAAAATGAAAAATTCTATGATCGTGTATGGAGCCTTGATAACAACAGTTGCTTAATTTTAAGCTGCACAACAGTATCAAATTAAATTTTCAACATTTATTTAGTTCAGTTGAAAGACATGCACATAATGTTAATAAACAGAAAAATCTTCAGTGACTGAAGAATTTTAGATTCAGTGCTTACTATCTTACTGGTACTGCTAACTTCTTACCTGAACAAGCTGTATGATCATTAGCCACCAGCCACAGCTCACTACATAGTCTAGAAAGTACAGGATGTGGATCCCAGCCTGCAGAAATGAAGGCATAATTTCGAGTATTACTATTAAATTTTTCGTGTTTATCACATTTAATAAGCTTTTATATCAGCTAAATTAACGTTTCAATGAATCAACTAAAAATCTCACAATTAACAAAATTGAATAATGCAGCATTAGTAGGTTGTAGTCATGTGATCATGTAAAATATGACAAAACAGATAATGGTACAATAATCTCCTCAACCTGAAGGATATCTGTTAGAGGCAGGGGGGGGGGGGGAGTTATCTTCCCAAAGCCTGATCCCAGGCCAAACCTAATGGTGAATCAAGGTCTGATCAATGAAGTTGTTACTGCTGGCTGCACGCAGGAGATTAACCATTACAATAGATGACAGTACAGTATAGTATGATGGTAATTAATAATCAGACAAATGGATGATAACTTACGCCTGTCGCCATTGGTAATGCTGCAGAAAACCCAAACAAACAGCAGAGAAATGTGATAAATGTCTCCCAAGCATGTAACCTTTCACGATTTATACGTATTACAGCTTCCACAATTGTCCGCCACACTGCCAGCTGTTGAAAAGGAAGTAATTAACATTGTATTACATACATTTACATAAAACTTTAGAAAGTAAGCCAAAGCTTACTGAAAAGAATACTTAGTCTATTTTGTCATAAGTCATTTAAGTCAAACATCGTTCTTATACAGTGTTGTATTATCTAGCAAAATGAAGCCATTTCTGCCTGGGGAAAATGATATTTGTTTAAAAATAATGTATTAGGTAAACATACTTAAGCAAGAACACTATTCCTCCATTGTATAATAAAGATGAATTTTATAAATTACCTGTTGAGCAATACCAAAAAGAAGTAAACTCAGGTAGAATAATGATGACCAAAATGGTGAGATTTGCTGTGCTCCATTGACTGCTAGAAGTGCTGGGAAGAGCTCTGTGGCCAAACGCAGACTTTGATAACCACTCCGATCATCTACTTCTGTTCTCTTCACTGAAATTTTAAAATAATCTTTTTTGAATTATCTGTGAAACAGGATATTTGTTATTAATATTCTTCACAACTAGCAATAAATATTTCTTATCTTTAAGTACTGTATGCATAATAGTAATGGCACTACAAAGTAATATAATGAACAAAGTGAAATTAATGCTAGTTTTGTAGTTTTTAATGAAGCTTCATTTAGTTTGAGCAAGAATTTGGAATTAAGAAAATACAAAAGTATAAATAAGTACCATTTCCAATCTTCGGTGAGCGTATTCTGATCCCTGCATAGAAGTTATCGTGGTACATGTACTCGGCTAGGTGTTGTGGGGATAAGTTTCCCATGTGCAGATGCTGAATGAAGGTTTCCAATAGCATCTTTTGCTGGACTTTAGTTTCAGTCAGGAACTGAGCATTCTCCAGATTCTCTGTTAGGTAATCATGAGTCAAAACAAACTACAGTAATACTCTGTGCATTTATAAACATAACAGAATGTGTAAACAAGGTATCACAATGGTGTGAAAGTGGGGGTGTTTGGTAATAATTTTGGGAGGATTAAGGCAGGGTACCGAGTAAAAATTAATTTGTAACGACAGTGTGGTATATCTTGCCCAATGCAAGTCCTTGACTGAATACATTTGTGCCTTCATGATTTAGGGGCAAGATGGGTTAATATTATTAGGTGGACTTGTATTCACAACCCTGTTGCAACCCACCCCCCACTCACTCCTACTCCATCTCTCCCCCTCCTACTCTCTCTCTTTCTCTCACATTCTCTACCTCTCTCACACACAAAAAAAAAAAAATTGAAAGTTCAAGACGTTAGGGATGTTAGGAAGTATTTCTTCAGCCACAGAGTTGTCAGGCAGTGGAATAGCCTAGAAAGTGATGTAGTGGAGGCAGGAACAATACATAGTTTTAAGATGAGGTTTGATAAAGCTCATGGAGCAGGGAGAGAACCTAGTAGCAATCAGTGAAGAGACGGGGCCAGGACCTATGACTCGACCCCTGCAACCACAAATAGGTGAGTATACACACACACTGGACTGCTGGTATTTGTGAACGACATGATGGAAGGAATAGACTCCAAAGTGTCCCTGTTTGCAGATGATGTGAAGTTGATAAGAAGAATTCAACTGGACACGGACCAGGCAGAACTAGAGGGATCTGGACAGGCTGCAGACCTGGTCCAGAAACTGGCTCTTGGAGTTCAACTCCACCAAGTGCAAAGTCATGAAGATTGGGGAAGCGCAAAGAAGACCACAAACAGAGTACAGTCTAGGAGGCCAGAGTCTACAAACCTCACTCAAGGAAAAGGATCTTAGGGTGAGTATAACACCGGGCACATCTCCTGAGGCGCACATCAACCAAATAACTGCTGCAGCATATGGGTGCCTGGCAAACCTAAGAATAGCATTCCAGCATCTAAATAAAGAGTCATTCAGGACCATGTACACTGTGTACGTTAGGCCCATATTGGAGCATGCAGCACCAGTTTGGAACCCTCACCTAGCCAAGCATGTAAGGAAACTAGAGAAAGTGCAAAGGTTTTCAACAAGACTAGTCCCAGAGCTGAGGATCATGTCCTATGAGGCGGGGTTAAGGAAAATCGACTTGACAACACTGGAAGACAGGAGAGATAAGGGGGATATGATAACGACATATAAAATACTGAGAGGAATCGACAAGGTGGACAGAGACAGGATGTTCCAGAGATGGGACACAGCAACAAGGGGTCACAGTTGGAAGTTGAAGACTCAGATGAACCACAGGGATGTTAGGAAGTATTTCTTCAGTCATAGAGTTGTCAGGAAGTGGTATAGTCTGGGTAGTGATGTAGTGGAGGCAGGATCCATACAAAGCTTTAAGAAGAGGTAGGATAAAGCTCATGGAATGGGAAGAGTGACCGAGTAGTGGCCAGTGAAGAGGCGGAGCCAGGAGCTAAGACTCGACCGCACACGCACGCACAAGCGGGGCCAGGAGCTGAGTCTCGACCCCTGCAACCACAATTAGGTGAGTACACGCACGCGCACACGCACACACACGCACACACACACACACACACACACAGGGACGTTAGGAAGTATTTCTTCAGTCATAGAGTTGTCAGCAAGTGGAATAGCCTAGCAAGTGAAGTAGTGGAGGCAGGAACCATACATAGTTTTAAGAAGAGGTATGACAAAGCTCAGGAAGCAGAGAGAGAGAGGATCCAGTAGCGATCAGTGAAGAGGCGGGGCCAGGAGCTGAGTCTCGACCCCTGCAACCACAATTAGGTGAGTACACACACACACACACACACACACACACACACACACACACACACACACACACACACACACACACACACACACACACACACACACACACACACACACACACCGGACAGGCTGCAGACCTGGTCCAGCAATTGGCTCCTGGAGCTCAATCCCACCAAGTGCAAAGTCATGAAGATTGGGGAAGGGCAAAGAAGACCGCAGACGGAGTACAGTCTAGGGGGCCAGAGACTACAAACCTCGCTCAAGGAAAAAGATCTTGGGGTGAGTATAACACCAGGCACATCTCCTGAAGCGCACATCAACCAAATAACTGCTGCAGCATATGGGCGCCTGGCAAACCTCAGAACAGCATTCCGACATCTTAATAAGGAATCATTCAGGACCCTGTACACCGTGTACGTTAGGCCCATATTGGAGTATGCGGCACCAGTTTGGAACCCACACCTAGCCAAGCACGTGAAGAAACTAGAGAAAGTGCAAAGGTTTGCAACAAGACTAGTCCCAGAGCTAAGAGGTATGTCCTACGAGGAGAGGTTAAGGGAAATCAACCTGACGACACTGGAGGACAGGAGAGATAGGGGGGACATGATAACGACATACAAAATACTGAGAGGAATTGACAAGGTGGACAAAGACAGGATGTTCCAGAGATTGGACACAGTAACAAGGGGACACAGTTGGAAGCTGAAGACACAGATGAATCACAGGGATGTTAGGAAGTATTTCTTCAGCCACAGAGTAGTCAGTAAGTGGAATAGTTTGGGAAGCGATGTAGTGGAGGCAGGATCCATACATAGCTTTAAGCAGAGGTATGATAAAGCTCACGGCTCAGGGAGAGTGACCTAGTAGTGATCAGTGAAGAGGCGGGGCCAGGAGCTCGGACTCGACCCCCGCAACCTCAACTAGGTGAGTACACACACACACACACACACACACACACACACACACACACACACACACACACACACACACACACACACACACACACACACACACACCCACACACACACACACACACATACACACATACATACACAGAAACAAGAGGTCACAATTGAAAGTTGAAGACTCAGATGAGTCAAAGGGATCTTAGGACGTATTTCTTCAGTCATAGAGTTGTCAGGAAGTGGAATAGCCTAGAAAGTGATGTAGTGGAGGCGGGAACCATACATAGTTTTAAGACGAGGTTTGATAAAGCTCATGGAGCAGGAAGAGAGAGGACCCAGCAGCAGCCAGTGAAGAGGCAGGGCCAGGAGCTAGGACTCGACCCCTGCAACCACAAATAGGTGAGCACGCGTGCGTGTGTGCACACACACATACACACACACACACGTGCGCGCGTGCGTACGTACGTACCCATATACAACAGGCCTAGTGTCTAATCGACATGTGCCTAGGACAAAATGGTAACACACACACACACACACACATACGTACGTACGTACGTACTCATATACAACAGGCCTAGTGTCTAATCGACATGTGCCTAGGACAAAATGGTAACTAACTAACTAACATATATATATATATATATATATATATATATATATATATATATATATATATATATATATATATATATATATATATATATATATATAATATATATATATATATATATATATATAGTACATATTTCAGGCCCATCATGAGTATGCAGCACCAGTATGGAACCCACACCTGAGGAAGCATGTAAAGAAAGTGGAAAAAGTGAAGTATGAGGATATGAGCTGCAAAGAGAGGCTAAAGGATGAATCTAACGACCCTAGACGACAGAAGGACCTGGGAAAATACGATAACAACATTCAAAATACTCAGGGGTATTCATAGTGAAGACAGTGACAGGCTGTTTAAGAGGCAAGAAACAGGTATTCAAGTACACAACTGGAAGTTAGATACAGATAGGTCATGGGATGTCACGAAGTATTTCTATAGTCTTAGAGTGGAGGCGGGTTCCATACATAGTTTTAAGAGCAGGTACAATAGGACCCTTGAGGAGAGGAGGGAATAAACCTGGAAACTGGTAAATTGAATGGTGGGGACATGAGCTAGGACTCGACAAGTGGGGTGCCCCAAGGATCAGTATTAGAGCCAGTACTGTTTCTTGTTTATGTGAATGATATTCCAGATGAGACTGAATCAGATGTATCCTTGTTTGCTGCTGATGTATAATTGATGAGAAGGATAAATTGATCAATTTATACAAACTGTAAGATTAGTCAGATAAGTGGTTGCTTGAATTCAACCCCAACAAATGCAAGGTCATGAAGATTGGGGAAAGGGACAGAAGACCAGACATGTTGTATAGTCATAGGGAACAAAGATGAAGAAGATTTTGTTTGGATTTTTAACCCCGGAGGGTTAGCCACCTGGAATAACCCAGGAAAAGCAGTGTGTCGTCAATGGAGTCTCTGTCTTATTCCCATTGGGGTCCTCAATCTTGTCCCCCAGGATGCAACCCACACCAGCTGACTAACACCCAGGTACCTACTTACTTGCTAGGTGAATTAATGAATCTCAACACGGTTTTACAAAGGGGCATTCCTGTCTTACGAATTTATTAACTTTTTTCACTAGGGTGTTTGAGGAGGTAGATCATGGTAATGAATATGATATTGTGTATATGGACTTTAGTAAGGCTTTCAATAGAGTTCCACACCAGAGGCTACAGAGGAAACTTAAGGCACCTGGAATAGGAGGAGAAATTTTTTCCTGGGTAGAGGCATGGCTGATAAATAGGCAGCAGAGAGTTTGCATAAATGGGGAGAAATCAAAATGGGGGCACGTCACAAGCAGTTTTCCTCAGGGGTCAGTGTTGGGCCCGTTGTTGTTCACAATTTACATAAATGACATAGATGAGGGAATAAATAGCGACATAAGCAAATTTGCTGATGACACCAAAATAGGCCATCCAATTCATTCTAATGAGGACACTAGAGCACTCCAGGATGATTTGAATAGACCGATGCAATGGTTGGAGAAGTGGCAGATGCAGTTTAATGTTGACAAATGCAAAGTTCTAAATGTTGGACATGTAAATAACCATGCCACATATAAACTAAATAATGTAGATCTTAATACTACTGATTGCAAAAAGGATTTAGGAGTTCTGGTTAGCAGTAATCTAAAACCAAGACAACAGTGCATTAGTGTTTGCAATAAAGCTAACAGAATTCTTGGCTTCATATCTAGAAGTATAAATAACAGAAGTCCTCAGGCTGTTCTTCAACTCTATATATCCTTGGTTAGGCCTCATTTAGACTATGCTGCTCAGTTCTGGTCACCGTATTACAGAATGGATATAAATGCTCTGGAAAATGTACAGAGGAGGATGACAAAGATGATCCCATGTATCAGAAATCTTCCTTATAAGGATAGACTGAGGGCCCTGAATCTGCACTCTCTTGAAAGGCGTAGAATTAGGGGGGATATGATCGAGGTGTATAAATGGAAAACAGGAATAAATAAAGGGGATGTAAATAGCGTGCTGAAAATTTCCAGCCAAGACAGGACTCTCAGCAATGGTTTCAAGTTGGAAAAATTCAGATTCAGGAAGGATACAGGAAAGCACTGGTTTGGTAATAGAGTTGTGGATGAGTGGAACAAACTCCCGAGTACAGTTATTGAGGCTAAAACGTTGTGTAGTTTTAAAAATAGGTTAGATAAATACATGAGTGGGTGTGGGTGGGTGTGAGTTGGACCTGACGAGCTTGTGCTGCTGGGTCTGGAGCTGTGCTCCTTCCTTGAGTGGAGGTGACCAGACTGGGTGGGTCATTGGGCTAATCCGGGGGGAAGGGGGGGGTCATTGGGCTAATCCGGGGGGGGGGGACATGGACCTGCTCCGCATGGGTCAGTAGGCCTGTTGCAGTGTTCCTTCTTTCATGTTCTTATGTGAACAGGGACAACAGGTATACCTAGAGTATACCTGGAGAGGGTTTTTGAGGATCAACATCCCTGCAGCCTGGTCTGTGACCAGGCCTTGTGGTGGCTCAGGGCTTGATCAACCAGGCTGTTCCTGCTAGCTGCACATAAACCGACATATGAACCACAACTTGACTGATCAGGTATTGACTTTATGTGTCTGTCCAGTGCTGTCTTGAAGACAGCCAGGGGTCTATTGGTAATCCCTCTTATGTATGCTGGGAGGCAGTTGAACAGTCTTGGGCTCCTGACACTTATTGTGTTTTCTCCTAGTGTACTCGTGCCCCCCTGCTTTTCATTGGGGGGATACTGCATCTCCTGCTGGGTGTAAGGAAACACAGCCAATGTTTCAACCCTTGTCGGGGATCGAACAGACCTTATTCGAAGAGAAAAACCTAGAGGTTAGCATAGTGCCTAGCATTCTGCCAGAGGCTTGCTTCAGTTGAATAAGCTCTGCTGGTAAATCTAAGAGTGACCTTCAAGAATCTCTACATAGTGGCTTTCTGGGCACTGTATGCAATATATTTCAGGCCCATCTTGGGCCTGAAAGTGCTGACATGTGTAACAAGGCTTGTTCCTGAGTTAAGAGGTATAAGCTATGAAGCGAGCCTAATAGAATTTAATTGAGGATAGAAGAACCAGGGGAGATGTGATAAGATACAAAATACTCTGTGGAACTGATAGGGTAAATAGGAACAGGCTGTTTGAGAGATAAAAGGGGTAACCTGAGAAGAAAGCTGTAAGTTAAAGACACAGTTGAACCACAGAGATGTTAGGAACCGTTTCTTCAGTCCCAGGATAGTTGAAAAGTGGAATGATCATGGTGAAGAGGTGGTGGAAGCAGGAGGCATACATAGCTTAAAGAACAGGCACAGTAAAGCCCACAATTCTAGGAGGGAGTGAATCTGGCAAGTGGCAAGTTAAGAGGCAGAGCCAGAAACTGAAACCTGACCCCTGTAGCCACATATATGTTAGCGAATGCACACAAATGCATGCACGCACGCACTCACATACACAAAAAAAAAATGACAAAGCATATTAAGAAACTGGAGAAGGTGAAGAGGTATGCAATGAGGCAAACTCCAGATCTATGGAAGAATGAACTATAAGGAGATGCTGAAGGAACAAAACCTGACAGATGAACCAGGAGAGACATGATAACAACATAAAAAAATACTCTAGGGAATTGATAGAGTTGGCCATATCAATACCATACAAACAGTTTGGTTTGCTAAGCTGATTCCCACCTAATAGTGACACTCATATAATGCACTAAACTCTGCTGAGTCACTGGCTGGCCAGTAAGCCCACCATTTAGGTAGGTTAAAAAAAATAAGTCAGGTTTGAGTACATTTTAAAATGCTTGGAGTAATGCATTGTCCCAGTTTCAAATGATGCATCATACAATAAGGGCCCATTGAATAAGTAACTTGTATTCCATAATATGGCATTTAAAGATTAATATATTATACAGTGGACCCCCGGTTAACGATATTTTTTCATTCCAGAAGTATGTTCAGGCGCCAGTATTGACCGAATTTGTTCCCATAAGGAATATTGTGAAGTAGATTAGTCCATTTCAGACCCCCAAACATACACGTACAAATGCACTTACATAAATACACTTACATAATTGGTCGCATTGGGAAGTGATCATTAAGAGGGGGTCCACTGTACTAAGATATAAGACATAATATCAAATATCATAGAATCTTACCAAAAGAAGATGGTTTGTAGTGTAGGTTATTTTGGAGGAGTCCAGACACACAAGATGAACCTGTGACCGCTGCCAGCACCAGCACCAAGCTTGTGATTATTGAGAGTATCGTTGTATCTCGGTACAAAGCATGTCCTCGCCTGAAAATTAACAAAATATATTTGAAATTTAGAGCTGACATTTAAAATATGCATATTCAATAAAGGTTGTTTGTGACCACTGAAATATTATTCATTTCTTCTTTTGAATTATTGCATGTATTGTACTGCCTTCAAAATATGTCAGCAGTTTTAATAAGCTCTTGTTCTCTTTAGGTTTTCTTGGATGCTTCAGTATTAATAAATTATTAGAGTTAATTCACTGGAATCTTCAATAAATGGTTATGATTTAAAAGTCAGGTTCTCAGCTCAAAATTTTTTGATAAGTATTAAAATTATTACTATACATACTTATTGTGTGCTGCCATCTGTTGAAGAACAGCTCCGTGGAAACCCCAAACTAGGAACACTTCTCGACTAGCTGCCATCCATGACTGCAAACAATTAATGTACATTTGCATACAAAATTTAAATATAAAGATACAGTAGTTGAGAATCAGCCATTTAAAAGATACTTTTAGCAAAGAAATCTTTGATAAGTTTTTTCTTGTTTACCATCATTTGATGGGTCATACCTATTCATACAGAGATATTAATGTTTCTTGCAGTGCTAAGAATTAACATTATAAGTTTTATATGTATATTACTGTACTAAAGACAGGACTTGAGTCCTGGAGGTGGGACGTACTCTAAAGGAGGAAGTACTCTGAAGGAGGGATAGGGATATATTGCATTTTAAGTTAATATGAATTTTTCAGTTTGTGTGAAAGGTAAAATAAATTTGTGGACAATTAAACTGAGAAACTAGACAAGGCACTGGTTCAAGCAGAGACAGAATCCAAAAATCATTAAAGTGAATAGTGTACTATACAGGTTGTTACAAGCTGAGATGGTATACTAAATGAAATATTAAAGAAAATACTCTACAAAGAATGGATAGGTGACTTAAGTAACAAATCTAGGTGACTAGGTAAATTCACCAGAATAGTAATGTAGCCAGGAATTTATATGTAAGCTTGAGTGAACAACCGGACACAAAGTGCACAAAGTCATAAATATTAAAAAATACCTTTCAGGATAATTCTAGTCATTACTCACACGACTGTTCATGAAAAACTCATTGAAGTTTGTGACATCATTAATGTAGAGATCATCTTTGGTCCAGGAAGCCAAGTACAGGCACACAACCAAATAACACAGTAATGGCAGAAGAAACACTATGTAGCACACTTTTCCATATGACTGGTTACCTATGGAAGTAAAAGAGCATCTCATTCACAGGTTTTTCTTATACAAAGTTTTAAACCTGTAGCCTTAAATTACCACTGATAATCGAAAATACAATCTTTGATAAGTCTCTCTTTCATGCAACATCAGCACAACAGCCAGATAATTCACAAAGTTGGTGATAACTGATGTTTTATTGCTTAAAGAGTAGCTACTACTGACAAGTTTGTGAAGAAAATCACAGTTAAAGACCAAGTCTTTATTTTTATCTGCCGAGATGAAAGATACATCTGTAAAACCCTACCACCTCTGTTGCAGTGTAGTATACAAACAAGCTGGTACATTCTGACTGCTTCATTACACTTAACAGGTGTAAATCCACTAAGAAAAGTAGCTCATATTATCATTAATTTGTACCTCTAACCATTCAAGAAACTAAATAAAAACCATAGAGAAATAAGTTATTATTATGAATAGAATGTACTATGCACAAATATTCCTCAGTAGAGAAATATAGTTGTTAATATTATTGCCTAACTAGTGGCATGTTCAATTCTGAAAAATATTGCAAAAGTCATGTAGTTTGAGGGAACATTTGATTAAAACCTTATTCATCAACTTAAATGTGTTGCAAGACAAACTGAATATATAGTTCTTTTCAAGCTCTAATTTTTTTTCTGTACTTGTACAGGTATTTGAGAATAAGACTTATGCACAATCAAGACAATGAAAGAGACTTTTCACTACTTGAGGCTTTATGAATCTTAATATGGAGAAATAAAAAAATGCAGCATTTATACCAAGGGAGGCCAGGTGAGACCCAGAACAATGTGTCACATTTCAAAAACAAGTGGATGGGGCTTGAAATTGAGAAGAGCCTTACTAACATGGACCAGTAGGCCTACTGCCATGCATTTCCCTTCTTATGTCACCTTATACCACTGATTTGGTTGGACAGAATCAATTTGGAGAAAATACTGGAGATGCTGAAACTTTCTGAGTTTGGTGTGACTGTGGTAGAAATTGAAATCATCAAGTCTTCCAGGTATTGCAGTCTCAGTAAATCCTTCTTCTTCAACAGTACATCTGCTTCTTCCTGCCTCATGGTGTGCCCACGTGTGCTACAATACTGAACACATGTTGTTCATATCATCATAATTGCAGGCATTTCTGTTTCCCATGTATATCTTATTATATGATACCTTGCAGAGAATGTGATAAGATATACACAGGGGAATCAAGGAAGACCATGGACCAACATGTTAGGAAATACATAAATGCCTACAGTCACAATAATATGAACAACACATGTCATTATTATAGCACATATGGTCACTTCATGAATTAGGAAGAAGCAGAACTACTGATCAAGGACAGCAATTTACCGAGATGTCAGTGTCTGGAAGCCTCAATGATTTCTATTTTCATACAAAAACACCAAACTCACGGAGTTTAAACATCTTCAATATTCCACTCAAACTGATTCTGCCCAACCAAAACACTGCCATCAGGTGACATAAGAAAGGAGATGAACTGTAACGGGCCTACCGGCCCATGTTAGGGGGTGTATTAATGTTGGTAGAAGTACTGACAATATGTTAAGTAAAAGGACACAAGTGCAACTAATGTGAGATTTTATTGTGGCAATGTTTCGCTCTTCAGGAACTTTGTCAGAGAAAAGTTGCCACAATCAAGTGTGGCATTAGTTGCACTTGTGCCCTTTTACGTAACATGTTAGGGAGATTCTTCTCAATTTCCAGCCCTGCCAAGTCATTTCTGACAAGTGAACTATCTTTCTGGGTTGCACTTGACCTCCCTGCTATAAATACTGTATTTCTTTAGCTATCTCTTTATTAAGATTGATAAAACCCGAAGTGGCAAAAACATTTCATTCAGTAAATGTCTTGATTGTATATATATGTATGTATGTGTGTGTGTACTCACCTAATTGTGGTTGCAGGGGTCGAGACTCAGCTCCTGGCCCCGCCTCTTCACTGATCGCTACTAGGTCCTCTCCCTCTCTGCTTCCTGAGCTTTGTCATACCTCTTCTTAAAACTATGTATGGTTCCTGCCTCCACTACGTCACTTGCTAGGCTATTCCTAACAACTCTATGACTGAAGAAATACTTCCTAACGTCCCTGTGACTCGTCTGAGTCTTCAGCTTCCAATTGTGACCCCCTGTTTCTGTGTCCCCTCTCTGGAACATCCTGTCTCTGTCCACCTTGTCTATTCCCCGCAGTATCTTGTATGTCATTATCATGTCTCCCCTGACCTTTCTGTCCTCCAGTGTTGTCAGTCCGATTTCCCTCAACCTTTCCTCGTACAACATTCCCCTGAGCTCTGGAACTAGCCTTGTTGCAAACCTTTGTACTTTCTCTAACTTCTTGACGTGCTTGACCAGGTGTGGGTTCCAGACTGGTGCTGCATACTCCAGTATGGGCCTAACATACACAGTGTACAGTGTCTTGAACGATTCCTTATTAAGGTATTGGAATGCTATTCTCAGGTTTGCCAGGCGCCCGTATGCTGCAGCAGTTATTTGGTTGATGTGTGCCTCCAGTGACGTGCTCGGTGTTATGGTCACCCCAAGATCTTTCTCCCTGAGTGAGGTCTGTAGTCTTTGTCCACATAGCCTATACTCTGTCTGAGGTCTTCTTTGCCCCTCCCCAATCTTCATGACTTTGCATTTGGCAGGGTTGAATTCGAGAAGCCAGTTTCTGGACCACGTGTCCAGCCTGTCCAGGTCTCTTTGCAGACCTGCCTCATCCTCATCCGATTTAATTCTTCTCATCAGCTTCACATCATCTGCGAACAGGGACACTTCAGAGTCTATTCCTTCCATCATGTCGTTCGCATATATCAAAAATAGCACTGGTCCTAGAACTGACCCCTGTGGGACCCCGCTCGTCACAGGTGCCCACTGTGATACCTCTTCACGTACCATGACTCGTTGTTGCCTCCCTGTCAGGTATTCCCTGATCCATTGCAGTGCCCTCCCTTTTATATGCACCTGATCCTCCAGCTTCTGCACTAATCTCTTGTGAGGAACTGTGTCAAAGGCCTTCCTGCAGTCAAGGAAAATGCAATCAACCCACCCCTCTCTCTCGTGTCTTACCTCTGTTACCTTGTCATAAAACTCCAGAAGGTTTGTGACACAGGATTTGCCTTCCATGAACCCATGCTGGTTTTCATTTATAATCTTGTTCCGTTCCAGGTGTTCCACCACTCTCCTCCTGATAATCTTCTCCATGACTTTGCATACTATACATGTCAGAGACACAGGTCTGTAGTTTAGTGCCTCATTTCTGTTTCCTTTCTTAAATATGGGGACTACATTTGCTGTCTTCCATTTCTCAGGTAGTTGCCCAGTTTCAAGGGATGTGTTGAAGATTCTGGTTAGGGACACGCACAGCATCTCTGCTCCCTCTCTAAGGACCCACGGGGAGATGTTGTCCGGTCCCATCGCCTTTGAGGTATCAAGGTCACTTAGCAGCTTCTGCACCTCCTCCTCGGTTGTTCGTATGTCATCCAACACTTGTTGGTATATTCCCTCTTGATGTTCCCTTCTGTGCTGTCTTCCCAGACCCTTCCTGTCTCTACTGTAAAAACTTCCTTAAATCTCCTGTTTAGCTCCTCACATACCTCCTGATCATTTCTTGTGAGTTCTCCACCTTCTGTCCTCACTCTAATCACCTAGTCTTCGACTGTTGTCTTCCTCCTGATGTGGCTATACAACAGTTTCGGGTCAGTCTTGACTTTCGATGTGTGGTGTGTGTGTGTGTGTGTGTGTTGTGTGTGTGTGTGTGTGTGTGTGTGTGTGTTAGTGTGTTTGTGTGTTTGTGTGTGTGTGTGTGTGTGTGTGTGTGTGTGTGTGTGTGTGTTGTGTGTGTGTGTGTGTGTGTGTGTGTGTGTGTGTGTGTGTGTGTGTGTGTGTGTCTGTCTGTCTGTGTCTGTCTGTGTGTGTCTGTGTGTGTCTGTGTGTGTCTGTCTGTGTGTGTGTCTGTGTGTGTTAGTTACCATTTTGTCCTAGGCACATGTCGATTAGACACTAGGCCTGTTGTATATGAGTACGTGTGTGTGGTGTGTGTGTGTGTGTGTGTGTGTGTGTGTGTGTGTGTGGTGTGTGTGTGTGTGTGTGTGTGTGTGTGTGTGTCTGTCTGTCTGTCTGTCTGTCTGTCTGTGTGTCTGTGTGTGTGTGTGTGTATGTGTTGTATGTGTTGTATGTGTTGTATGTGTTGTGTGTGTGTGTTGTGTGTGTTGTGTGTTGTGTGTGTTGTGTGTTGTGTGTTGTGTGTTGTGTGTGTGTGTGTGTGTGTGTGTGTGTGTGTGTGTGTGTGTGTGTGTGTGTGTGTGTGTGTGTGTGTGTGTGTGTGTGTGTGTCTTTTTCCCCACACTTTTTTTTGCCTGTTTCTCACTTTAATAATTGCACACAGAAATTTAAAGGAAGAGAATCTGACCTCTACTGAGAGCGATCAGAGTTATGATCCATATGAGGGCAATATTGAAGGCCATGTCAAACTTGAGAGAACCAAGCTCCTGCAGCCATGAAGATTCACCTTCTCCCCGCTGAAGAATCTGAGAGCTTGAAATAGAAAAATGTGCAAATTATATATATATATATATATATATATATATATATATATATATATATATATATATATATATATATATATATATATATATATATACACACACACACAACACACACACACACACACACACACACACACACACACACACACACACACATATATATATATATATATATATATATTGCTGTTTTAATATTAGAATTCAAAGTTTATTAGAAAAATTATCAACTACAGTATAGAACTCTAATTTAAGATAAGTTAAGCAATCACTTTCGAATTCCTACTACGATACATTACTTTTAATAGGACTGTAATTTAGACTATTATTCACACACCTGTTAACATATACTAAATACTGTAATAAATAATATGATGATATTGACTATTTCTGTATAATAAAATATTTAGTGAAAAATGGGCTCATAATACTTTTTTGGAGGATTGTAATTTACTAAGTAACACCGGTTCGTAAAAATTTATTTAATTCTGGTAAGAGGAAAATAGTAATGAAATGGATTCAGGAATGTTATCATGCAATGTCTCACACCGCAACTTGAATCATGCAAACATCTCTACCCAGCTTTATGTAATTGCACTTTTACTAGTTTTGAATATGAGATTTGTAATAAATATACATAATTTTGTATTGTCTAAACAAAAGCATAAATATAGACGTTTGAAGGTGGGTTGTGGGTTTAAACGTATTACAATATTAAAATTATTGACACTGGCTAATATCACTGAACTTTTTATATACTGAGCAACACTTATAATGAATATGTGAGCTTTCGCAATTTTTTGGAAGCAAATAATTGCAGTAATTAAATTACATGTATATTAATTAGAGAGTTCACCTTTCACCAGTAAAGTGTGCAATAAGTATGTCGAATTTCACATATAAGGCAAGCAAAAATCATTCGCAGTGCCTGTGAAATTATAGTTTATCTCTTGTTCTCAGTTCTGGGCACTGTTAGGTGGAGTGGGAGTAGTTACTCCACGTTGTCACGTCTGAGCTTCAAGATAACTAGTCCATTATCTACTAAATGTGTTACTATGCTCTCCTAGTGTATATCTTACGTGGGGTGCTTCAATTGTTGCTGGATGCATGATGACTGCCACATCAACCCACAGATAATTATGGAACGAATCATGTTCGCTACATGTTCAGATACGCTAGGCTGGTTCAAACACGTATGTATGCATTCATTGTATTCATTCATTTCGAGGGTGGGGCAGAAAGGTTATGTTAGGTACAATTCATCAGGGAACAGGACAAGTGTTTCCTGACGAGGATTTTAGTCATATGATAACCCACCACTGGATTACGTCCCATTTCCAGGGCACTGTCGAGGTTCAGTGATTATTCATGAATGTAAGAAGTACCGACTAATTAATTAAACAAAATGAACCTTTCAGGCCAGATTGGGATCTACTCTCTCCTTCCTTGGATCGAACCCGATTGCTTCCCATTCCCCAGGTGTTGTATAGCACCTATGGGTTTATTACTTCCTAAGTAATGAAATACTAAAAAAAAAATGGGATATATTTTTTACTATGTTGGGTTGTGTGTGTGTCTACCTATTTGTACTTACCTAGTTGTGATTGTAGGGGTCGATTTACAGCTCCTGGCCCCGCCTCTTCACTGGTCGCCACTAGGTCCACTCTCTCCCTGCTCCATGAGCTTTATCGTATCTTTTCTTCAGCTATGTATGGATCTTGCCTCCACTACATCACTCTCCAGGTTATTCCACTTCCTGACAATTCTATGGCTAAAGAAAAAGTCCTAACATCCCTGTGACTCATCTGAGTCTTCAACTTCCTGTTGTGACCCCTTGTTGCTGTGTCCCATCTCTGAAACATTCTGTCCCTATCCACCTTGTCAATTCCTCTCAGTATTCTGTATGTCGTTATCATGTCCTCCCTATCTCTCCTGCCTTTCAGTGTCGTCGGGTCGATTTCCCTCAACTTCTCCTTGCAGGACTACCCCTTAGCTCCATGACTTTCTCTAATTTTTTGACGTGTTTGACCAGGTGTGGGTTCCATACTGGTGCTGCATATTTCAATATGGGCCTGACGTACACAGTGTACAGAGTCTTGAACGATTCCTTGCTAAGGTATCGAAACGCTATTAGCTTAGCTCAGGTTTGCCAGGCGCCCATATACTACAGCAGTTATTTGGTTAATGTTCGCCTCAGATGTGCTTTGCATTATACTCACTCCAAGATCCTTTTCCTTGAGTGAGGTTTGCAATCTTCGGCCCCCTAGCCTGTACTCTGCATGTGTGTGTGTATGTTGTGTGTGTGTGTGTGTGTGTGTGTGTGTGTGTGGGGTGTGTGTGTGTGTGTGTGTGTGTGTGTATATGTGTGTGTGTGTGTGTGTGTGTGTGTGTGTGTGTGTGTTTTGTGTGTGTGTGTGTGTGTGGGGTGTGTGTGTGTGTGTGTGTGTGTGTGTGAAAGCTGTAACCAGAATGTGGCTAAAGAAAATGACTCACTTGAAGTATTTGGGAACTCCCTCGATGATGATGGTAGTGAAGTTGTTGAACACTGAACAGTTCACCACTGTAGGGATGTACAGGAATGAATATTAGGGGTTACCCACTCAACACTAGGATGAACTCTATAGTTACCTTCCTTATATTCTCTTACAGCATCCTTAAATAATCAACATTCTCATATAACTATCACTATTATAATTACTTAGCATTATCCCCACAAGATAATAAATTTTAACCCCGTATCAAATCCCTACTTAAAATGCTATTCACAACCCTGACTTGCGACCCTCCCGCCTTTCAATTATTCTAAACCACCTAGCAACCCTTCCTTACAACACTATTAACCCCGTCCTACACCCTTCCAATAACCCCGCGTTACACCCTTCCCACAACCCTTCCTTATAGCTCCCTAACCCCTCCTCAAATCCCTCCAACAACCCTGCATTATAACTCTAACAACCCTACCTTACAACTCTTAAGAACCACACCTTAAATTCCAGCAATCCCGTTTTTAACTCTAATAAACCCGTTTTCAATCCTTCCCCCAACTTTGCCTTACTACTCTCTAACAACCCTGCTTTAATTCCTTTAATTCCTCCCACAACCCCACCTTACAACTCTAACAAAACCGAATTACCCATCTTAGCCCAGTTTTACAACACTTTAAACCCTGATTTACACTCCTATAACAACCCTACTTTTCAACCCTCAAACAACCCAGCTTTTTTTTTCTAAGCAATAAGAGGGAAGGCAAGAACGGGAGAGGACTGGAGTAGGACAGAACAGTGACAAAGGTTGTCGATAAATAGGAAAAGAAAGGTAGGAAGGGTTAATGGCCTTAAAACTTTGTTATATAATGACGAATGTGGTGGTAAACTGAAGTTACAACCCTCTGGCACACAGTGGACTACTCACAGCGGCAGTCTGCCCATCGGAACATGTTGTTATGAGTGATGAAGGAGTCTCGGAAGAATATAAAGAGCCAAGCGATGGGTACACAGCAATACAGTCCCACCAGCGCCTGCGCCACCACTAGGCTGTACCCAACACCCTGTGGGGTAGAGATATGAAATGATACATGAATATAGCGCCTGCCCCACTACTAGGCTGTATCCAACAAGAAGTAGGGAGGCGCTACCTCGCCTGTGAAGGGAGACAGTTTTTTAGTGACAGGATACAGACGCATCAGCGCTTCCACTAGGCTGCACCCGACTCGTGTGATGAAAGGGATAAAAACACCATTATACACGTATACCTACAGTGATATAAAGTATAAACTATAGGCAAACTGTTAAAGTGCATTTTTTTATTTTGCACTAAAATTATCGTTACAACCAAAATTACGTAATGTGAAACCACTGCTTTTACCTAACCTATCTAAGAATTTTCATAATTGTTTTGTTGGGAAAGGGATATACGTATAGGGATACGTGGAGACTGTAATACAGGATTTAGGGAATACTGCGGTGGTTTAATATTATAAGACAATGGTGTTTTCAAGACTAAATTATTTTTAAGGTGAAATAATAGGTCGTCAAGACAAGGTGTAGAGAACAATGTTTCTGTAAATTGGCTCCTCTAGGGAGGTGCCTTGATGCCAGTGAAGAGCTCTTGGTCCAGGGAATGCAACTTGTCTTCCCTTTCCTTGTATCGAACCTGATTGCCTCTCATTCCTCCAGGCACTTTATTACCCCTTCAGGTAGGCATTCCCCGATAAATGTAATAAGTCGGTAAACTGGATTATTATATTTTGGGGAAACTCTAAACCGGTAGGGGGACATACAGTGTCTGGTGAATAGGAAACAATCAGGTTCAATGCAAGCTGAAGACAAGTCCCATCCCTTGGATCAAGAGCCCCTCACCAGCATCAAGGAACCTCCCTTTTGTGGAACTAAACCGGAGATAATTTGTATCTTTAAGACCAATAAGTGATAACCTCATTATATTTGTACCTGATGTGACAATATTAGTAAATTAAACATGGTTTCACCACCGTGATAGAAATTTAAACAACGAAAACAGTAAAAAATACAAAACAAATGATGAAGAAAATAGCTACTCAAGTTATAAACCTTCTGGGAACAACTCTCTTAATGCTGACTTCTTGTATATGAGACTTTAACCTCCCCCCCCCCCCCCCACAAAAAAAAAAATGTATCAGAAGTCGGGGGAAAAAGTGATGTCGTGGGAAAAATCTTTTTATATCATTCGACTTATGTAGTGGAATCATGCAACTGTATTGGTAAAAACTTGAGTGCTACACAAAATAAAATATAATCTGACACACAACTAAATCCTAACCTAGCGAGTTGCAAATTATTTACAAATTTCCATTTCGCTAGCGTGATTAAATTATTTTATTAAGTAATTATATAATGAAACGGTGATATAAATACACGAAAGTTTGGAATTTAATTAAAGGTTTAGTAAGCCCTTCCATCGATGATGGTGCGCGGTCTCTCACTACACACTTTCACCTCAAAATCTCTCATGTTACAAATTTAACTTCAATTGCCATATCGTCCACTTTCTCCTCTCTACTCACTCACGATCATACTTTCCAACCTCCAGTGGACTAGTTTTCTTTTCTTTATATAATTGCTTTCTCAGTTTACGATAATGACAAATTCCTTCCCAGACATTGTATAACTCCTAAGGGTTTAGCGTTACTCTCAAAAATAATACTAACAAAAAATATAGTAATAAAGCTGCTTCTCAAGCTTTCTCTTTTTAAGCCTGCATGTCTGTTCATATATTTGTGTGCGTGATAGAGAAAAAAAGAAGAATCTTGTATCTCTGAGAGAGAGAGAGAATTTTGTATCTGAGAAAGAGAGAGAATCTTGTATCTCTGAAAGATAGAGATATTGTATCTCTACTTGCTATTCAAATTGTGGATCAGTTTTAAGTGGAGAAATATGACAAATGTTTTTTTCAATCCAGGTAAATGGTCTGCTCATCCTTGTCTACCTTGCTTTGTCTCAGAATTGCTTTGCCATAGACCTGCAGCACGTTAGATAATCAGAGACGATCTTCCATCTTTAAATCTATGTTGGTTTTCATTGATGATGTTCCTACCCTCTAGGTGATCCAGTATCTTACTGACAGTCTTCATTACCTTACACAGTATGCTTGTTATTGATATTGACTTGTAGTTTAGCACCTCCTGTCTTAACCCCTTTTTAATTACGGTGATTATATTAACTAGCTTCCAGCTATCCGGTGGTTATCCCGGTTTTAGCGACTTGTTAAAGAGCTTTCAATATAGTCTCACAGCGTGGTTCTGTCCCGTTCCTTAGTACTAATGGAGGTATATTGTCCCACTGCTTTTGCTATAGTTGGTTACTTTAGTATTTTCTTCACCTCTTCCTCTGTGTGTATTTTTTCTGGTGTTGGTTGATCTGTCGCTGCATGTAATATTTCTTGCTCTATGAATACCTCCCCAAACATTTTGTTGACAACTTCGTATACTTCTCTTCCGTCTCCTGTTGGTAGTCCTCCTTCTTCAGCCGCCTTATAACTTGGTCTTTAACATTCCTTCTTCAGCCTTATCACTAGGTCTCTAACATTGTTTCTTTAGCCTTATTACTTGGTCTTTAATAGTCTTTGTCTTTCTTATACGGCTGTGAAGCAATTTTTGCTGTGGGGGGATAAAACACACACACATACATGTGTGTGTGTGTGTGATTAAATATATGTTTTATCATAAAGAGCGTTAAATAACATTTCGGTCCCGGCACTATATAAATTCCACATGCCTTCCCATCCACCCTTTTTTATCTCCAGTTAACCATGTATGAAGCATAGGTCTTATGCTCTGAAATTATGTAACTAACTTGTTGGTTAATTGATCAACAGAATGTACACCGCAACAATATGTGCCAGTAGTAGGATGGAAGAAAATAAAGGGAGTTATCAGTGGTGTATGAGAGCTGCATAAATGAAGTCTAGTAATACCCAGGCTCAGCTGACAGAAGACAACTCAGTGACATATGCTGTAGTTATCGTTGAGTGCTAGCAGCTCGACTGCACAAGTGCCAGGTAAACTATGCCTATAAAAATCTTAGGTGAACGGAATTCTGTAATTGTCTGTAAAGCTGCTGATGAACTGGTGGGATAACGAGACGGAAGATGGTATAATAAATATTTATGTTAGGACTGACGAGTTGAGAAACACTAGTATAAAGACTGAGACAGTGTTATGTCTGGTGTTGGTTTTGGTCGCTTGCATATGCTGGTAATTGATTAACTCAATAAGTTAACTGAAGCTGTACATTCAAATAATTTCAATGTGGTTCGAGTGCGAGCTAAGGTTAGTTATGTGCTTGAACTTACATACGAAGTAGAATGGGAACCAGAGAAACTGTGTAAGTGGTTTAGTTGCATTTTATGCAATCTATAACCATCGTGCAGGCGATAGTTACAATATTTGAAATACGTAATGGGTCGAGGGTCGGAACGTATACACTGAAAATTAATTTAATCATAGTGTTAAGAAGACCACTAGATTTATTTACAGTAATAAGAAAGCGGTTATAAAATTAGTGAATTTAGTCAGAAATAATACAATGCATCATTGAATGTTAGACACTGGTGCAATAACTTGGCAAAAGTGCGCCATTAATCTTATATCGCCTTGTATCGCGAAAATTTACTGTAAGAGTTTCTCTGTGTATATTTTTGTAGGTTGTAGTGACTGATTTTGTCCGTCAAGAAAAGCCTCTTAATGTGGATCTTTGTCAGTTAATACACCGCGCAGTGATTAAGCAATTGCTGGCGCCTACCAGTGCTGGGTACCAGCGATTAAGCAACTGCTGGCGTCTACCACTGCTGGGTACCATTGTTTAAGCAACTGGTGGCGTCTACCAGTGCTGGGTACCAGTGATTAAGCAACTGGTGGCGCCTACCAGTGCTGGGTGCCAGTGATTAAGCAACTGGTGGCGCCTACCAATGCTGGGTACCAGTGATTAAGCAACTGCTGGCGCCTACCAGTGCTGGGTACGAGTGATTAAGCAACTGGTGGCGCCTACCAGTGCTGGGTACCAGTGATTAAGCAACTGCTGGCGCCTACCAGTGCTGGGTACGTGATTAAGCAACTGGTGGCACCTACCAGTGCTGGGTACGTGATTAAGCAACTGGTGGCGCCTACCAGTGCTGGGTACGAGTGATTAAGCAACTGGTGGCGCCTACCAGTGCTGGGTACCAGTGATTAAGCAACTGGTGGCGCCTACCAGTGCTGGGTACGAGTGATTAAGCAACTGGTGGCGCCTACCAGTGCTGGGTACGTGATTAAGCAACTGGTGGCGCCTACCAGTGCTGGGTACGTGATTAAGCAACTGGTGGCGTCTACCAGTGCTGGGTACGTGATTAAGCAACTGCTGCCGCCTACCAGTGACTGGGTATCAGATACAGCACCTGCAGTTTACCAGTGCTATGTACACACAGTTAACCGCCTGCTGATCTACAGGAGTTCGAGATTTCCACATTTTTAACAAGAGAAAATTTATAATAATTGTACTATATTTTCTTAATTATGCAGAGTCAACAACTGATTTAGTTTTGTTGTTCAAGGTCTTGTCAGACAGATGCCAAGTTATTACATATTCATCCTGTACAAAATGTGTTGTACTGTTAGTTAAAACAACAGATTGCGACACCTGAGTATTGTTGCACGAGGCTGTGTTGTAGCATGTATGTCTGCCACGGCAGGTACACTAGTGACTAAATTATAAAAATTGGAGTCAGCGTCCACCTTCTGTGGATTTATTCCTGTCAAGGGAGGGAAGGGGTCTTGATCCTGGGTAATGGAGTTATTTTCAATTCATGGGATCAAATGTGATTACGCTGCACTTCTCGCATGCCTCAGGCTCTGCGGGAATATTATAATGTGGCTTCCCTCACGCATTATCTTCTAAAATGGAAAGGCATATGTTCTCAAGAAGTCCATTATAACTTTGGTTTGCCATGAGCCACCTGTCATGTGCCTTGGCACACGTCACGTGCTTTGCTACACGTCACGTGCCTTTCCATACGTCACGTGCTTTACCACACGTC